CTCCAGGATGGGGCCACACAGCAGCTCCACAAAGCTGTGAAACCCACATGGGGAAAAAACTCTCCCTGAGTATGCCCCATGTGATACCAGCCTGGAGGGGAAAATCCAGCATCCTGGGGTGGGAGGAGCAGAAAACACACACACACACACACACACACACACACTGCTAGCCCTGCTCCGCTCCCCCCCCCCGCATTTCACAACCCCCTGCATACAAGCAGGGGCAGGGCAGGCAGAGGCTGCACCATTGCACAGACAGCAGCTCGCTTCGGAGCGGTATTCGCAGCCAGGCTGCCTTGGGCTGTGAGCGTCTCAGATCTCACCAGCTAAGCTGGGTCAGTGCCTGGATGGGCGACTTCCAGGGAAAATCCAAGGTGCTTCAGGCAAGGTGGGGTGGGGGGTCCAGTAGGGGGCTCTCCCCTGCCAGGCACAGTGCTGGGGGGTGGGCTGTGCTACAGGGAGTGAGGTGAGGGAGGGGCGCTCTGTCCTCTGAGTCCCCCCATTCAACTCGCCTTTGCCCTGGTGCTCATACAAAACTTGACAACCCTTAGCTGAGTGCAGTGCCCGGCCCGCCTCGCCTTGTGCTGCCCCGTCCGTCCGTCTGTCTGGCTGGCTCGGTCGTCTCTTGAGTCATGGGCTGGTTTGATTGAAAAATGCTCCCGCTCGCCCTGCGATCTCCGTTTGCTCATGAGTCGCTGTGACTCAGCCTGACACAGTCGCTCGGAGCGATTCGGGGACCGTCGGGCCTCCTGTGTGGCACAGGCCATCGCATGTCCCCCAGCTGCCCTCGCAGGGAGCCCAGGAACTTGGGCCGCACTGAAGCACCTTCCGGAAGGGCCCGGCTAAGGACGGACAAGGTGTGAAGCTGTATGACGAAGCTCTGCTGGGTCAGGACTCAGGAGTAAGGTCGGTGTGTGGCTCCACCACCACTAGCAGGGCCTGACGCATGGACGCCCCAGAGAGACACAAAGGGAAACAACGGGAATACGGCACTTAGACCTCACAAGGGTTATTCCCCAAAGCAGCAGCATCCTTAGGAAAACTAGTTCAGCTGATTCCTCTGGAGGGAGGGGGGGAAGGGAGGAGCAGTGGAAACTTTCCAGGTGAGAACAAAAGAGACCAGGTGACCAAGGGGAGTTTAAATCAAGAAACAGACAGTCAGGAACAGGCCGGGGGCCTTTTCTTCAGTCCAGGAGGGCGAGATCACCCAGCAGGAGCAGCTTCCTGGGGCAGCAGAGGCGTGCAGCTTTTCCTGAGCCCAGATGGCCCCAGTGATCCCGGACTACCCAAGGGACTCATGCCCTAGCCCAGAGAACGCCCTGGAGTGGTGAGGAAACTGAGGCAGGGACATGCATTGAGTGTTTATTGCTTTGTAGGATCTGTGCTCTCCTGTGCTTTACACGATTAAGTATAAAAGAGAATGAATGTGTTAGACGGTGCAAAGTGTGAGTGTGTGTTGCCTGCTTCACAACTACTGCTTGCCCCTGAGAGTGAAACTGACCAGAAGGGTGTGTTTAAGTACTGGGGAGTCTGAAGGGTCGGCCTCGGGGCTGCACCCAGAAGTGCTCAACAGCAGGTTTCAATACTCAGGGTCTGCACCCGGCCGGAGAATGTGCCGAGGGACCCTGAGACTGGGGCAGTGGCGGGACGCCATTAACACCCCCAGGGGATCCAGAGCACAGAGATCTGGATTCCTCTCACAGAAGTCCTAGTGGGTGGCCAGGCTGGGGGTGCAGTAGGATCTGCGACAGGTATTTAGTCTGGCTTTGAAGCCATCCAAAGATGGAGAATCCCCAACCTCCCTTGGGTGTTTGTTGGAGTGGTTAATCACCTGCACCGGTAACGAATTGTGCCTAATTTGGGAGATCTTCACCATCAGAGTGAAGGGCTGGGAATTCCTGGCGGGTGGGGGGGCAGGGGCTGGCCTGGAGGCTAATGGGTCTGATCTCAGTGCCTTGATGGAAAATCCCCCGAGCAGCCGCACCTGTAAATTAACACAATTGTACGTGTGGGCAGTTCTGCAATACTGGGAACATGCCTAGTGCTATCCCGCCGGTGGGGCTGTGCCCAGCAAGCACCAGGTTCCCTGTCCCAAAGCCCCTGCGTGGTGTCCTGCGGTCTGGAGCGGCTCACGACTGTGAGTACCAACTTCAGGGCAGACCGTGAGAAACAGGGCAGTCACCCAGTAGCAGATTAGCCAATGGGGCCCGTGCCCAGGGGCCCCAGACAATTGGGGAACCCTGGAATAATGGGCACCCCTGTGCCCTGACCCACTCCGCCTGCCTGGCGCTCCTGCCAAGGACCAGTGTCGGGGCACGGGGGAAAGCCCCCACGCCCCAACCCCATTTCCCTGGCAGGAGCGGGGGGGGGGAGCAGGGCGGGGCTGCAGGAGGAAGGGGTGGGGAGGGGCCCCCACTTGCTGTGGCCCAGGGCCCCACAAAAGCTTAATCCGCCTCTGCAGATACCCCAGGCTGGTGTGCGTCACCAAGCTTGTGAAACGTGAATTCCTGGAGCATTACAACAATCTTACCCTGGAGTCACAGACAGTCCCCTCAGACTCTCCAGTCTGTCCTGCCACCCAGACAAATGGACTCAGTAATAAACGGTCACTTACACCAAAACTCACACCACATTCCAGTCTCGAGACCAGTCACGTACCCCAGATCAGCCAGTACCTGGCCTAGATCTTACACTGAAGACAATGCCAGTAGCCAATCCTGTAATAAACCATCTCAAGGTTTATTAACTAGGAAAAAGGAATGAGCGCGTTATTTACAGGGTAAAGCCAGCAACTATCTGCACACAAATGAGTTACCATCCACATCCGAAGAGTGACCGAGTGGTAGTGATCTGTCAGTTCGAAGTATCTTTCAGGGCAGACCCCTGGGGGTCTCAGTTGAGAGTCTCTGACCCAGCCAGGAGAGATGGGAAATTGTCCTGTGACTTTGTTTTATTTCCTTCATTCAGCTTCCAAGTCCAGAGGAGGGTGGAGCTTCTTTGCAGGTAGCATTTCCCAGGTGAGATAGGGCCATTAACCAATCCTTTGTATTGGGATATTCCTTGATGCCCCATCTGGTTTTGATAGGCCTTCTGGATGGGTGGTGGGGAGGGGAACCGATTCCCATGCCTGAGTTCACAAATTCAGAGCAAACATTTTCAAAGTTATAAAGTAAAACTTACATGTTTTCTTATAGCCTGGAACCCAGACATCAAAGTGAGATGAACGCAGGCAGCAACATGCAAGCATTTCCTAGTCTAAACACCAAATACACCCTTAGAAGACTAACACCTGGTTGGAGCAAGATTAACATACGGGTGACCTGGTCTGGGCTCCGGCTATGATACTGTCAGTTCTTAGCTAACGTCTGCAGCCTGGGCAAGACCTGGCATCTGGCCTGGCAGCGTCACACATGGGACACACCGAGGGAGCGCTGGGGACTTTGCCTGTGTTGAATGGGAGGCGAGGGAGGGAACTAGGAGGCTGCGTGGGGAGACTTTGGACCCTCTGGGATGGATGTAATCAGGCAATACAAGGCCTGGGGGAAGGACCAATGATCAGCAGCAAGTCTGCAGTGAAGGGGCAGAAGACTGACCCTCGCACGTGAGGGCCTGTGCCCAGTGCAGACACATTGCCCCAGGAAGGCCGAAGTGTTAACACCCACAGAAATGCCGGGTCCCTTTGCCCAGCTCCGTTCCGACAACACTGCACCAAGCAGACGTGGGGACAGCGTGTGGCCAAGGGAGCCCCTGGGTTCACAGGCAGGGTGAATGAATGCCCCTCATTCCCATTAACGGGCAGCTGGCCACCCTGGAACCTTCTTAGCAAATACATCCTCACGCACACGCAGGCAGCGCTAGTCCCCCCATTTACAGGTGGGAACTGAGCCCCAGGGAGACCAAGGGACGTACCAAAGTCACAGGGAGTTTGGGGCAGAGCAGGAACTTGACCCCAGGCCTCACAGGCTAATGCCCAAAGCCCTGGACCATCCTTCCCCTCATGTCATTAGCTGCTTAAGGCAGTGAAATCAGACGCTTCTGTGCGTGGACCCCCAATTGCGTTGCCCCCACTCCTTCCAATGCTGGAGCAACCGCTGGCCCTCGCACGAGGTCTCCCCCAGTGAAAGTGCTCACTGCACTGGCTGCCCTCCATGCCCCTCCTCCCCCACTACTACAATCCTCTTTGCAAATCTGCTCACCCTATTCCTAGGGCTTCTGCCTGCGGGGTGGGGAGACTTGTGCCTTCTGCTGCCCTTCTCTCTATGTAAGCACTTCCCCAGGCCCTATCACCATGGTACGCGCCTCGCAATGGAGCCAGGCCAGGGCTACCCTCCTTGCACAGGCGGGAACTGGGGCACAGTGAGTCTAAGGGACTTGGCCGAGGTCACACAGGGACTCTTGGACAGAGCCAGGAATTGAACTCCTAAGTCCCAGGGTGGGGATCCCACCTGATCCCTTGTCCCCGTCCAGTGCCCTTTTAGCATTACCTGTTATTTGCACTGCAGTGGCGTGTGGGCCCCATCACGGAGCAGGGCTCCCTCGCGCCAGGCACTGTACAAACATAGAACAAATAAAGATGGTGTCTGCCCCGAACAGCTGACAATCTAGACTCTCCTTCTCCCTTTCACCAGCTTGGTGGCTCCCCATGTGCAGGAGGCAGCCCCGTTGCACCAAACCCACATGCCCTGGAGTAGCGCCAGCAGCAGGCTGTGTTGGAAGCAGGCTCTGCCCGTCCCAGTGGGAATGGGTCAAGCCAGGGAGGGGGGAGGCTCCTGCTGGCTGGGACAGGGTGGAAGGGGGAATTCTGTACTGGCTGCCAGTGGCTCAGATCAGAGCCTGGCTGGGGTTGGGGGCTGTAGGACCTTTACTCTATCCCGGTCACAAAGTGCCCAGAGGCGTGTTTCTAGAGGGAGCCCTTTAGGAGCGGACTGCGCCCCGAACAAAGATGGCCGCTGAGCGCCGTGCGGGGCGGAAGCGGAGAACGGGTCCGTCCGGAATAGCCCTCCCCGGGCTGCCGGCCCGTAGCTGAGCCGGGGCCCGATGAGCAAGGCGTGGCGGAGAGGGGGCGCCCCCGGCGGCAGGATGGAGGGGGCCGAGGCGGGTGAGGAGCGAGCGTGGTCCCCAGCCCCCCTCCCCCCCGGCCGCTACCGACACCTGGGGCTCGGGGTCCCCCCCCCTCCCAGGCACGTCTCGGGCCGCCGGCGCCGGCCGGGGGGGCGGGGGGGGCGGGGGGGGGGGGGGGGGGGGGGGGGGGGGGGGGGGGGGGGGGGGCGGGGGGAGCTGGGGGGGGACTGCTGGGGGGGCGGGCCCCGGGGGTTAGATATGCCCTGCTCTTGCTCCCCACCCCAGCCCTGGGGCCCCAGCCCCCGGCTAAGCAGAGCTGGGGTGGGAGCGGGACAGGGGCCATAGGAGCTGGGGCGGGGGGCTGTTGGGTCTCATCCCCTCCCCTGGGGAATCAGGGCGGCTCGTCCCTTCAGCCTGGTGCCCGGCCCCCCGGGAATGCCCCAGGCCCGGTGCCCCTGTGCCGCCCGTGGGCAGCGAGGTGACGTGAGTGTCTGCGCGTGTCCCCAGGGGACCAGGACGAGTCCAGCGGGCACGGTTCCCACAAGAAGAAGCACAAGAAGCACAAGAAGAAGCACAAGAAGAAGCATCACCATGAGAACGTGGGCCCCAGCTTCTCCTCCGAGACCCTGGAGCCCAGCCCCTTGCTCCCCAAGCCCCAGCTCAAGCTCAAAATCAAGCTGGGGGGGCAGATTCTGGGCACCAAGAGGTAAGGGGGGGCCCCAGCGTCTGCTCTGGGTGACGGGGGCGCTGGGAGGGATGTGCGACGTTTTCGGGGCCAAGACTTATATTTCAAAATAGGAGTCGCCGTACTGGCGAGACCATGGCCAGGATCCATGCCTGGATCAGACCAGCCTGGTCTCTCCCTCCAGGCCCTATCGGATCAGCAGGTCCCCCTCGCCCTGTGTTCCCATCCTGACTCCCACTCCCCAGAATAGACCAGTGGGCCCCCTGCCCTGGAGCTGTACAGTGGCCATGCTGCTGTTGTGCCGGAAGACGCACACCCACAGGTCCTAGTGCGGCTCTGTGGACGTGCAAGCTCTGCTGCACCCTAACGCGCAGGGTTTGTGGGCTGTCTCTCCAGCGTGCCGACCTTCACGGTGATCCCCGAGGTGCCGCGCTCGCCTTCCCCTCTGATGGTCGTGGACGACGAGGACGAGCCCATGGAGGGGGTCCCCATTGAGCAGTATCGGGCCTGGCTGGGTGAGTGCTAAAGGAGGAGATCCTCGCTCCGCAGCATTCCCAAACAGCAGTCAAGGAAGCCCAGCCCCTGAATAAGGGTTGGGAGGGGCCCCCGGGGCAGCCGCATGGCTGGGGTGAGGCCCCTGGGGCAGGGAGGTATCAGGCGATCCCACATTCACCCGGCCAAGCTCTAAGTGCTCTCGTTTCCCTCCCATAGGCAGTAACAAAATAGCTGTAAACAGCTTTGGGGGACCCCAGCTTCTCCCCCGTGCTGGGCTGCCCCAACTGTCTGGCTCTAGAAGGCCGGAGGCTGTTCCCTTGACTCTGTTCCGGCTTGGCTGGTGAGGCTGTGGGTGCTGCCCGGGGAGCCAGGGCTGAGCTCTGCTGTGCTCTGGGGTTTCCCCTGGTGGGAGTGAGAGATAGAGGAAGTGTGCAGCCAGGTCCTAGTCGGGGTCTGTTGGGGCGTCCACCCCTGGGGAGAACAGTCCCTTGGGAGCAGGCCAGCCACTGGGAGTTCCAGGGGGCCCAGGAGAGGTGGTAACACACTGTCTCCCTGCCGGGGCTGCGCAGATGAAGACAGTAACCTGGACCCATCGCCCCTGCCGGACCTGGACTCGGAGAGCTGCTTCCCCGCCCGCGAGGACGAGGAGGAGGAGCGCTGGCTGGATGCGCTGGAGAAGGGCGAACTGGACGACAACGGCGAGCTCAAGAAGGAGGTGGATGAGTCGCTGCTCACGGCCAGACAGGTGAGGGGGGCTGGGAGCCCTGTAGGGGTCAGTCCCTCCCTCCCAGGCGGGTGCCTGCGGCCCACGTGCGCAGGGCGGTGGCTGCGATGTGCAGGGGTTGTGGCTGCAGCGGCCTGCTTGGTGCAGAGAGGAGCCGGGGTAGCACAGAATCCCCTGTGCCCAAAACTCTCCCATGCGTGGGGCTTCAGAGCCCGTGTCCTGCCGGGCTCCCTGCCTTCACTGCACAGGGAGGCCCTGACACACGCACACTCCCCAGAGCCAGCCAATCTCCCCCCAGCTGGGGCGGGATTGGAGCCCCTCCATCAGCCCGTGCATTGGGTCTGACCGTCCCTCGTGCTCTGTGCCCCCCCGCAGAAAGCCCTCCTGCACAAGCAGCAGAGCCAGCCGCTCCTGGAGCTGCCCATGGGCTACAAGGCGAAGGAGATGACGGAGGAGATGCTGGTGAAGCGGGAGGAGCGAGCCCGCAAGCGGCGCCTGCAGGCGGCCAAGAAGGCGGAGGAGAACAAGAACCAGACCATCGAGCGCCTCACCAAGACCAACAAGGCCAAGGTGAAGACGCTGCGGGAGCGCAAGGCCAAGCAGGCCCCGTGCCCCATGATTCGCTACTGCAACGCCGCGGACCGGATCACCGTGTCCTTCCCGCCCGGGGTCACGCTGCCCCTGCCGCCCTGCGCGCCCCCGCCCGTGCCTGCACCCACCACCTGCGGGGTCAGCGGCTGCCCCAACCGCAAGCGGTACTCCTGCTCGCGCACCGGCGTGCCCCTCTGCAGCTTCGCCTGCTACCAGAAGAACCTGCAGCTGCAGGAGGCGGTCGGCTAGGGGTCCTGGCGCTGACCCTGGCCAGGCGCCACCTCTTTGAGGGCTTGGCTGAAGATCCCTGCGTCCTTCTGGGGAGGCCCAGGGGGGACGTTCACTCTCCATCAGCTCAGGACGCAGCTGCTACCCTTGTGACTGCGAGCTGAGGACCCTGGCGTCCGGGACCCCTACTGGGACTGGCTCATTCCCTGAGAGCTGAGTCATGTCTGAGCCCAGAGTCTGCCCCAGGCCGGCCTGGGGGCCCCAGTGCAGCGTACATGGCTCCATGCAGCCTGGCCTCCCCGTGTCTCTCCCACCCTCCCAGGTGACTGGGAGGGATGGGAAACAGCCCACGCTGGGCCTGGGCTCGGCCGCATGGTGTCTCCAGGCCCTGCCACGGGGAGGCGTATCCCGCCCTTCGGTGCCTGCCTGCACCGCTGAGCTCTGCTGTGCTTGGGGGAAGGAGGAGCTTCTTCCAGCTGTCAGTGGAAGGACTGGCTGGAGCTGTTAGCTCTCCTCCGTCCCAGTCTAGGAGAGGTGAATCAGCCAGCCCCATTGGCTGGGGCGAAAGTCTCTGCTGGATGTGCTCAGAGAGCCCCTCCCCCCAGGGCGGGTGTTGTGGGGCCGGGGGAGGCCCTCGGGGATGTGGGTGGTCCCCCTGCTGCCACTCACGCTCAGTAGCTATTGATGTGGGGAGGCAGTTGAGTGGGGTCCAAGCAGATGGAGGAGGTCAGGGCTGCCTGGGCCTGGCTCGCTGCCTCCTCCTGGCTGAGCTGTGTCACTGCAGCTCTCCGGACCACAGCGTGTGTGCGTGGGAAGGTGGGATGCTGCAGGCTCCTTCGTGCCCTCCCCCTCTGCTCTCCTTGGGGCCGGGGCTTTGGGCCCAGGAATGCTCGTTACCTGTAACATTCATTAAACCCCACAGTACAGAGGGAAGATCTGTTGCTCCGGTGGGAGCCTCTCTTTGATCTCGGGGCTGGGCTGGTGGGTCGTGGGGGGGAGGCCTGGGCTCTCAGGTTCTGTTGGGGAAGGCTGGCTGGTCTCTGCTCCATGCACCCAGCCTGTGACCTCGGCCACCCCACTTCCAGAGCCCCCTGATTTCATCATCAGGTCCCCTGGGGAGCGGCCGGGGCAGTAAGTCTTGTTGCTAAGGCCCAGGCTGTGGGGCCTGGTCCCAGAGCCGAGATGTAGCCAAGGGTCGCTCCCCTCTGAGCTCGCCCAGTGTCATCCACTCGCCTCCTGGCTCCTGCCGCTGGGCTTGACCTGGCCCGTGGCCCAGGCTGGGATTCCCACCTCGTGCTCCGAGCTCCCTCTGCTGGGGCCGTGTCCCAGGAGAGTCGCACTCTTGGGTGCACATGAAGTATCGTCCTAGAGCTGCAATTCCTCACTCTTCCCCTCGTCCTGCGCCTGGGCTGGCAGCACCTCTGCCCCCTCGCCGGGCCCAGCAACCCTCTGCAGAGCACTCGGTGTGGGAAGTCCTGGGCTGGCAGCGCCTCCCCCAGCTCCCCCGCACCCAGCGACCCTCTGCAGAGCACTCGGTGTGGGAAGCCCAGGGCTGGAAGCACCTCCCCTGCACCCAGCGACTTCTGGAGTGTAGCTTTTGGGCTCAGGGCTGGCAGCCCTGGTGCTAATGGGGACCCTACAATAACACAGCTGTGTGCAGCGTTCCGAACAAATGGTTTTACCCTCCAGCGTAGCAGGCTTCCCTTCCCCACGTACGGCCGCCTGCAGCACTGTGGGGGGGATCAGGGGCTTTGGGGCGCCAGGCCAGCTCTTCGCAGGAAGATGCGAGAGGGTCCTCCACCCCCATTGGACTGTTATGGACCAAGCTGTTCAAAGGAGAAGTGCCTTCCTGTCCCGCAGTTAGGGGCTCAAAGTGGTCAGGGGATGGCTCGGGCTGAGCTGACCCCAGCCCCCACCCTGTCCCTGGTGCAGATGTAGGTCAACACCCTTAACGTTCGTGAGCTAACCTTGAGCTCAGCCTCCTCCCCAGTCTGTACAACCCCCCCGGCTGCCATCTGCCTGTCCTTCCTAACCCACCTCATCCCCTCGGGAGTAGCAGGGGAGCGGCTCGGTGCCTATAGACACGGCCATTCCTTCTCTCCTGCTTCCTGCAGAGCTCCTGATTTCAGTGGCACCCTGGGGCAGGGAGTTCCCCAGGACAACGGGGGGATGTGTGTTTCCTTGGAGTGATTTGTCCTTGGATTGCATTGTCATCTCTCGTCAGACAGGGGTCTCTCTGGCCCCAGCGGGAACCCCCTTGGCTTCTGCTCTGTCCTTTCCCCAGGCTGGCCTGACCAGAACTGGACCCCAGGGCAGGGCAGTCCACCAGTTTATCGAACGCCACTAGCCCGGTTTGCCTGTTATCCTCCCCCCCCATTCTCTCTGCACCCCGACAGCTCGTTGGCTGCTGCACTCTGAGCTGAGCTGCCTGTGGTGCCAGCAGGTCCTGCCCCCGAGAACTGAGCCCCCAGAAAGGGCATGAGGAGGTCAGATTAAACCCTCCAGTGGGCCTTACTTGGCATCTCTCAGCCCTGAATCCCAGGTGCTGCCTCTTCTCCTGGCTGGCTCTGAAGTTCCTCATGGGCTTCTCTGTCCTACAGCCTCCTACCACAATCGGGTGGCCCGGCTGCCTGGCCCTTCCGGCAGTTTATGTGGGTTGCAAAGAGGAAGGACAGAAACTTTTCTAAATAAAGGGCTGCTTCCCCTGCCGTTTCTGGCTGCTGTAGCCCGGGGCTGGGCCCAAGCTGGCTGTGTGCGTGTTGGGGGGTGGTGCGCTCCAGGGACCTGGCTCCGAGCCCGGCTGGGTGACAGCATGCCCACCTCGCCCCTTCAGGCTGCTTGGCCCATTGCAGACCCAGACAGGCCAAGGCAGCAGGTGGCAAACATCAGATCCAACAGAGGCACCTCAGGTAAACCAAAGTCATCTAAGCTCAGAAACCAGAGCCAATGCGAACAGATTTTATGCTCGTTAAGACCACCACAGAGCAAAGGCTTCCCACTAGCGCTTGCCGAGACCTGTCCCAGGACATGTCACCGTGCATGGTGACAAGGTCACAGATGCAGAAGCCCCCGTCTCCCCCCTCTCCCTTGGACTCTCGCAGGTCACCTCTGCTCCCACCCACCAGCCAGTCACGCCTGGGCCCTGCTCTGCAGTTCCGCTGTCAGTGTCGAGGACATCACAGCCCAGCCACTGCCCTGACCATCCCCTCACTAAGGTACGGCCAGCGCTCTCCCAGCTCCCCAGCAACAAGAGCCATGACTCACCACAAAGACTTCACCAAATCCCTCCAAGCCTCTGCTGAGACTATGGGTGGCGTGTGAACTCGGGGAGGCTAGCTCCCCCCACCCCTGCAGCTGCCGGTTCCCCAGCCCCGGGCCACCCGAGCACCTCCAGCCCAGAGCGCTGGGCGGCGTGAGCAGCGGCCCCATCTACCTGGGCCACAAGCCCCCAGCCCAGCCATGGGGGAAGACAGGCAGAAGGAGGGGACCTGAGGGTGGAGCATGGGCGGGGCCACGCGGCTGTTTGGGGAGACTCAGCCTCCCCTGGCCTGTGATACCTGCCGCCCATGGCTGAGGCTGTATTCCAGGCCAAGAGAACCTGGTTTCAGCTCCCACCAGCGGTTCCTTGGCCAGGAGCTGATCTCACCCAGGCAGTGGGCCCAGCTGGGCACGTGCTGTGGTCGTGCATGAGGACGGGTAAATAGAGCTGTCACCTGCATATCACTGACAGCTGAAACCCAGCGAGATGGAGGTGCCGCTGGCGGGCAGAGGAAAGCACTTTGAAGAGTTTGCAGCCATGGCATAGTCCCCGTTAGTGGAAAGTTCATGCCCACAATTGGTTGGTTCAGTCTGTAGTTTAGGGGGCCCCTAGATTCCTCTTTGGAGCTGAACTGTCCCATAACAGCACTCACAAATAAAGCTTTTTACCCGCTCTGGCTGGCTAGGAGACGCCAGTGACCTGGGCCTGGTTAGACAAGCCTGTGTCACCTCCCAGGGGACTACAGCAACACAACATCACTGGGCGTGAAGCCACCACTTTAGGAAACTCCAGCTGCTACGGAAGACTGCAAAGCATCTGCCCAGCAGGTCTGTCCTTGGCTCTCTGCACTGGCTTCCCATAGCCTGCGAATCAAGTTCAAGGTTTCAATCCTTGTCTTCAAGGTACTCAATGATCTGGGCGCAGGATGGGAAGAGATCCCTGACGTCTCTGGGAGGAGGATAACTCTACTCCACTGGCACAATGGGGTAGAGCTCATCTGTTCCTGGGGCCAATCCTGTGCCATGAACATTCCCAGACAGCAGCGGGGGATATGCCTGTATCAACTTGTGAAGTGTTCTGTGCCAGGGCTGAAATATTGGCACTGTCACTACTTCAGACCTGCCCAGCCTGTTGGGTTGCAGTCTAGATGGCTGCCCTGCCTGGGAAAGGTATTTAACACCTTCGAGGGACCAGCAGTAAGAGCCCTCCTGAAGAATGCATGGGGGGGGGGCATCCACTCTCTATAACTCTCAACCAGTGGCCCACCCCCATTGGACAACAGGGGCCCATACAAGGGCCCAGAAGGGAGAGGGAACTTCAGCGTGGGAGCACACAGCACAGAGCTGGTGGCCCCGTTAAGAGTGGGGTTCTGCTGGCAGGCTGGGGCCGCCTCATGCGAGAGGGCAGAAGGGACTCTCTGCCTAGTGGGACTCACTCACGAGCCAGGAGGGTGAGCTCTGCAGGAGGGCGGATGTCTCAGGCCTTCTGTTGTTTTCAATATTCCAGGGCTTTCTGGGTAAAGCTGCCGGGTAAAGAAATCCCTTTGCTGAGGCTGTGTGCCTTGCTTTCCCGGGATCAAACTAGGTGCCCCCTGTGACGTTAGGAGTGTAATATAATATCTCATTGAAAGGTGACAGGGCCAGAAAGAGTTAATTACCTCACAGACTGACCTGACCCATGGCCGAACTTTAGAGACTGGTTAGGAAGATCTGTAAATGAACAGAGCTTGGAAATGCAGAGATAGGATAGATGTTTGCTCAGGGCTTGTGATGTAAGCAAACAAGTCTTGTCTA